TAATAATAATAATAATATTTATTTCAGAGAAAGTAACAGACCATTGTATCTACACCAAAAATGAAATATTGTCATTATTGTAAACTAAAGAATACCTAAAAACTATTTTAACAAATAATCATTTAAACTATATGGTTCTAATTCTACTAACATTTTTTTAATCACCTTCTTAAATTTATGAAGTCCTTTAATATTTTTTATACTTTCCGGAAGTTTATTATAAAGTTTAATACATATATATTGTGGACTCTTCTCGGTTATAGCTAACCTATGTATTGGATAAGTGATATTTATACTACGAGTGTTGTACCCATGAACGACATTATGAATCATAAATATCTGTTTCTTACTACATATACAAGACATTCATAAACAAAAACTGCAAAAACTGACAATAACCTTTTTTGTTTAACTAAACTTCTACATGTTTGACTATAATCTAATTTGTACATTATTCTTAAAACTCTTTTTTGTAACACAAATTTTTTTGGATATTGCTACTCCCCCAAAAAATTATTCCTGATCTCATACTTGCTTCAAAATTGGAAAAATATATCATACGGAATGAGCTTACATTCTAATACTTGGCAATGATTCTGAAACTATAATGTATGCCGGCTCAGAACAGTAACTTTTTTTTTTACATTTTCATATAGTAGGCATCTTTCATGGTGACAGTTTCATTGTAATGATACTAATGATTGTCACTATCGCGTGCTACCATTTAAATTCTTACATTTCTTTATCTTCTTAGTTGTGATCTTTGTGCTTGACTTTGCATTTCAATCGATTTTTTTACAACCATGAACCAACCATCCTGCTTTTACTAACCATGAATATGCCAAAATGCATTTTATTTATGGTTTTTGTAATGGAAATAGTCTGGCGGCTCAAAAAGAGTATCGGCAACATTTCCCTGATAGAAGGCAAACTTCTGCAAGACTGTTTGGGAAAATGCATGCAAGAACGATGGAATCAGGTTCCCTAACTCCAAGATACTGTGAATTTCGCCGTCCAAGGAGGCGTAGGCATGATTTAGATGAAGTAATTTTAGGATTTTTTTAACGTAATCCTACTGCGAGTGTACGAAGAGCGTCTGCTCATGATGGTTCATGGTTGTAAAAAAATTGAATGAAATGCAAAGTCAAGCACAAAGATCACAACTAAGAAGATAAAGAAACGTAATAATTTAAATTATAGCACATAAAGTGACAATCATTAGTATCATTACAATGAAACTGTCACCATGGAAGATGCTTACTATGTGAAAATGTTAAAAAAGGCACTTCTGAGCCATACATTATTTAAAAAATAATTTCTGAATAAATTACCCAGAATTCGAAAAAAAAGTAAACATTTTTTCTTCAAAAAATTTTAATACAATAAAAAATAATATTAGCTTGATAATTCAAAGGAATAAATAAAATTCGAAAAATTTATGTTAAGGGTAGTTAGAAAACTATCCTTTTTTAACCACTTTTTGATGAAACTTATGATACCTAGTTAAAGATCCTTATGGTATGATTATTACCTACAATTTTCATTCCATTATCTTGATCAGAAATAGTTATTTTTAAAAATATCCAAATGATAAGAGCCCTTTAGAGGGCCATATCTCAGTAACGGTGCTTCGGAAGGCCAATGTTTATAGGAACTTTTTTCCAATTTTTGGCTATATTTTCACTTCCATCAATTTTGTACCAACATTTCCAAACGCCTTGTATATTTGCTTAAACATATTTTTTATGTTTCATGTGAATGTAGAGGGTAGAAAACAATAAAGCAACTGAAAAAAAACATGCTAATCTATTTTGTACACTTCATCTACTAAATTATAAAATGACAAAACAATTTTTTGGATCTGCTGTTATTTGATTTTTATCTTAATTTTCATTATTTGCTATTTAATTTTGAATATAAATAAATTTGTAACCTACGGAAGCAATTATTATATTTATTTAGTATAAATTAATATAAATCAATTTAGAAGTGAACTTATAAAAATATTTTTGTGGACAAATTTTTTTATTATATTTCTGCGGATATAATCCATAAATTATTTAGCCACAGTCAATATCTAACACACTAACACAAACAATTATCTTCCAATGTTTCTTCTTCACTTTGAGTAATTTTAAATCCATGTTGTTCCATTGACTGTAATTCTAACCTAGATCTATTGGAATTGACCAACTGATATGCGATATCATTAAACATTTCCTCTAGACCTTGTCCATTTTTACAAGATGTTTTATATATTCCAGATATTAAATTATGACATTGTTCACTGAAAGCAGTAAATACAATATTTTATAATTTAACTATTGCTACACTGTCGATTGTCATCATAATTATCAGTGGCTGTATAAAGTAAAGCTGGAATAATTTATGCTATAATAGCTATACTGACACTTACTGACACTTACCCACCAATTTGACATAATTGTTTAACAAATTGCTTCTTTTTGTGGTAAATTATCTATATTTTTAATAAATTTTATCTAGTTTTTACAAAATCATAAATTTTGAAATAGTGAAAACCAATATGTTTACAATCTTAACAATACTTAACAATCTGTTTAGATAATTCATGTTTTGAAATTTTCAAATAGTCCTTACCAAAAAGCTTCTATTTCAGTATCAGTAACTTGTGGTACATCATCCACTAAATCATATTTATTTCCACATAAAAATATTTTGGCATTTTCTGCATATGTCACTATATCTAACAGATGCTGAGACAGGACATGAAAGGAAGCAGGATTATCCAAAGCAAAGACTAAAATAGCTGCTTCAGCAAATTTGTAGTAACTTGACGTTATGGAAGCAACTCTTTCCATACCTCCAGTGTCCCATAACTGCAACTAATAGGAATATGGTTGAAGGCGATGCATTTAGACTTTATGTAGATGCAATTAGCAAAGCTATCCACATATGAAATGATATTTTTCATCAGTCCTGTAGACAAATAATAATTACACTTTTACTACAAAATTAATAAGTAACTTTTGTTAGGTAATAGAAAACACTGCGGTAATTTTCTTGTAGAATGGAATTAACGTGAATAGTTGATAAATTCATGGAACATTCTATGTATTTAATAAATTACTTCAAATATTTGTAATTTGCTAATAACAAATTAAGTTTAATATAAACATATATACCTTTATAGCTCTGTCAGAGACATAGTAAGTTTTGTCAAAATGATCTAACCCTAGTGTAGATTTTCTGTCTGTTGAGGTTATAAAGGTATTATTTGTAAATCTACGAAAAATGGAACTTTTTCCAACTCCATACTCTCCACAAAGAATAACTTTTTGTTCCGGTATTTTTAATGATGCCATTAATTAGTTATTGTTATTATTTTTTAAGTAGACGTCAAAAAACCCAAAACAAAACGAGACAACAGTGTTGCCAGATGGAAAATATATATAAAGATAATAGGCTTTTTTTCGCGAGTGAAGTCGTATGTTGTAGTATGTGTAGTATGAGTGAATATTACGTTTTTGCGAGAATAGTCAGTCATTTAAACTACTATGTGACGTCACAAGTTTAGATCAAATGACTGAACTCTTCACCCTTCAGCTGAATATTCTGTTGGTATATTCAACTAGTATTGTCAGCTGGTAACTTAACCTTTTTCATTTTGACATTTTGTTTGAATGAGTATAAAAATCGTTCAGCAAAATGATGGATTCTGATATGGTTGTGGAAGTGGCCAGTTTAAATTTAAACTTTAGAGGCACAGATGTTTTAGTAAACATAGACGTTGAAACAGCAAATATTTTACTTGATGGTGAGATTAATTTTTTATATGGGACATATTTGCAATCCACTTTGCTTCAGGATTATCCTCTTTTTTTTTGTGACCTAGGCCAGAGATAATATTGGTGGAATCATTTGTAATTCAAGTCTTTTTCGTATGAATTACATAAAAAACCGACCTAACCTTCCATTCTCTTACGATAACGATTATGTCGAATATTCGCATATCTTGCAACGTCAGAATCTACATACTTTTCACGCTTTTTAAATTTGCCACTTAAAAATATTCCAAAGAAAGCATTGATATATTCCTTCAGTTTTATTTGAAGCAAATACATATATTATATAGTGAGATATAACACCAATTCCCACAACACTAGATTACTGGAAGCAATAAATGATGACAAATTATGGTTACTGGTTAGAAGTTAAAACCCATATGTCAAAGTCGTCAAAGTACATCCTACATATCACTGAATAGTGAATATATACATTTTCGCCATCTGTTCAGGTTAGACAAGGTTAGAAATAAGATTAAAAGAGATAGAAACAGTAACTACAAGTCAGACGTATTCACCAATATTCACTCGAAAAAAAGCCTATTGAATCAGCTGTTTTCTTTTACTCATGATTTCGGAATCATAACGCGTTACCACAGACCACCTAGACTAGAACCTAGACTGGCCGTATCTAATTCCAATGCACGGGTACGAGTAAATACAAAATCCGGGGAAGTGGAGTGTGGAAGGCAATCTGATCGCGCGCCTCTTTAAGCACGCGCGCGATCCGCGCCATTATTCCATGGCTAGAAATTGGCCTCAATGATTTGGGATCGAGGGGGATTATCCCTCTTTATCCTGCCTCATCTCGTGTAGGCCTGGACAGCCTTCGTAGGTGGGCCCCATCCGTCGTCTACCCCGACCGCAAATGCGGCCGGTGTAGGCGCTTTGTGGGACCTCCTTTTGTCCTGGCTGGGCCCCGCCGGCTAGGGCCCTTTCTTCTGGCGCTCTTCTTGCTTCGCCGGCTCGTCTGTGTAAACCCCGGGGGTAGTGTCATGTTTATGTGTGGTATGGTTGGGTAGGGTAGTGCGGCTATGCAGCCTGGGATGCGCTTTGCTAAGG